GTGACTTTAATTTCATTTTCAAAATCGTGGGTTGGGCCAGGTTACTAACTTGTAGTTTTAATCAAACGCGAAGTACCAGAACTTTAATTAAGGTTAAGAACGATGAGTTTCGATACGTTTTGCTCTGAAATGAACAACTTTTACGTCCATAGTGATTTCTTTTTCAATTTCAAAATCGTGGGTTTGGCCAGGTTACCAACTTGTAGTTTTAAACAAACGTGAAGTACCAAACCTTACATGAAGGCTAAGAACGATAAGTTTCGATAAGTTTTGCCCAAAGATGCACAACTTTTACGTCTACGGTGATTTTGTTTTCAATTTCAAGGCCGTGGGTTGGGCCAGGTTACTAACTTGTAGTTTCAATCAAACGCGAAGTACCAAAACTTTAATTTAGGTTAGGAACGATGAGTTTCGATAAGTTTTGCACCAAGATGCACAACTTTTACGTCTACGGTGATTTTTATTTCATTTTCAAAATCGTGGGTTGGGCCAGGTTACTAACTTGTTGTTTTAATCAAACGCGAAGTACCCAAACTTTAATTTGGGTTAAGAGCGATGAGTTTTGATAAGTTTCGGCGTAAGATGCATAACTTTTACGTCCACAGTGATTTCTTTATTTATTTAAAAATCGTGGGTTGGGCCAGGTTACCAACTTGTAGTTGTAATCACACGCGAAGTGCCAAACCTTAAAGTTTGGTTTACGACGGTATGTTTCGATAAGTTTTACCCAAAAATGCACTACCTGCTTAACACTGCAATATTCTCAGAATGTCCGGAGGATGTCCCGTATGGGACACGGGATGGTCCCAGAACGACGTGCCTGGCACCTTCACTGAAAATAGAAAGGTCATACTTTTGACGGGTTAAACGGTCTTACTGAAATGTACGACCGTAAAGGGTCATACTGAAATGTAAGACCGATAAAAGGTCATACTTCGATGTATGACCGAAAAACGGTCATACTTTATAGTGTATGACAGGTAAAGGCTGATATATCTCCATGCTAAACAATAGCCAGTCTCGCTGATGTCTGACCTTTTCTTGGTCATACATTTGTGTATGACCGTTTTTCGGTCATACATTTGTGTGTGACCGTTTTTCGGTCATACATTTGTGTATGACCGTTTTTCGGTCATACTTTTTGTACCACCGAAAATCGGTCAGATGTCTCACCCTTTGAATTTCAGTGTTCCTAAGTGTAGCGAACATTTGTTTTCTTAGTGTCCTGGGAATATCCTTAGGAGTATCTTCCCGCCCTATGTTGTGGGACTTTCTCAGGAGTATGTCACGCAGGACCCTCCCCTTTCCCCCTTTTATTTTCATAGGGATGCAGCACAAGAACAATCAAAATTTTATTCATGCAGAAAACTTTATTCAGTACGCATGCACATATTGTAACAAATCACAAATAATTGTTTAACAGTTCATTGGAAAAAAGATTTATGACAGAATGGGTCATTTGAACAGTGGGAAGAATAATCAAAGGTAATCCAATCCATCTTAACGACATAAACTCAGGTCAAGTATGTGATGGTTAAAGTTATGTAAACTTAGCGATATTCAAAGCAATGCTTGTCTGAAGCAAATCCAGAAGAAAGCCACAAAGCTTCACATCACATTTATGAACAGTCACTTCGGATAGACATGACATTACAATTATTGTAACAACAAAGGAGCACACACAACACATGACCCATAACATGAAAATAATTAACAATGCAAGAAGTAACACTTTGATACAACACATTTAAGCAGAATTGACACAGAAGACAAGAAATCAAGAGTAAATATTGATTGCAATGACAAACAATAATATCTTCAAGAAACTGGAATCTGTAGTTTAAGAAATAAATCAAATAAGCATCTACGATAGGCCCACTTCAGCATATTGACCTAATCGTTAGGGTGGGTCGAAAATCCCAGAATTTAACAGCGTATGGTTTTCTTTGCAGTTCACCATATTAGAAAAGAGATCCCACAATGCTGGGGTCTGGTGACGTCACCTTCCACCTCTTTGGAGGCTCCAAACTTGGGTCCTGTTTTGTTAGTGAACTCACGGATCTTCAGATAATGAGACTGATCACCATGACCATGGTTTATTGACGCACTATTACAATGGCCTAACTTGCGCTCGAGCCCCGGTCACTCCCCACTAGAGCTTGGCTCACCTTGTCCGTGTCCCTGCTGGGCTGCGACTCCCCGTCCGCGGCCGCGTCGCTCCGGGCCTCGGCCCTTCGCGACGCGCCCGGCGGCGATTTTTGCTGACACAAGGGGTATGGGCCGCGGCGGTGGCGGATGCAGCGGCCGCGGCCCGTTAAGTGTTTGAACCTGCGTGGAGTGGCGCAACACTCCCCGCGTACAAAGATCACTGACTCCCGGCAGTGAAGGAGTTAAAAGAAGCTATGCAAATGAATTTATGGTTATAGCCCAAGTGGCTTGTTAACTGCCAATTTACTGAATTTAAGCGTGTCATTGGCTTTAAATTGTTCGAAATGTCGCTTTAATTTATGCATAAATATTTTAGGTTAATTAAATTAGTCAAACGTATTAGTAGTGTGACCGGTTGTGACCGGAGAGTGACCGGGTTGGAGGGTGTTAGGAAAAATAAATACAAAACAAGGAGAACAATACCAGAAACAATACAGTTTGTCTCACCGCGCTCCGGCCGCGCCACCTTTACCCTGCCGGATTGAGACTGGTGTCTAAACATTTTTTTTTGAAAAGCGATGCTTAAATGTAAAGGGATGAGTCTTTTGTCTATTGGCAACAGATTGTCATTTTTCATAACACATGTACAAAGGATATTGTAGAACAGTCAGTGCGGCATAATCATACAACACAAGGTTTGTTGAGAAGTCGTTGCTCAACTGACTACAATTGTTACTAAATCTAGATAACCCAAGTGCACAACTGAGAACTGATTATATATGTTGGCACATTTTCATGACCCGTAATAAAATGCTATCAAAGCCTACGAATGAAAAAAAAATAATTAATACGAAAATTACGCATTATTTCACTGTAAGCAGACGTGGATGTATTGAGTCCTTTGTCAATCCAGTCTGGAAACACGCTATAAACCTTAAAACCTAACTAACCTAATTAAGCCCCTACTCTAAATCTTCTTGCTGACGGGGTGTGCCTTAACGCTGGCTCCCGCACATAGGCTCATTGTTGGTTGAGGGCATCTCAGAATGGAACTGCGACTCGCTGGGCAATGGTTTTATGTTCTTCTACCAATGCCAATAACGCGGTCCTAGGGTCCCCGGCTGGGGAGAGTAGTAAACTACCCTCCCGTCCCTCTTCTGGGGCAACTGTGACCGAAGGTCAGCAGCAGTGTCTCCTCATTACATGACTTGACACCCCTAGGTGCGTGAGAAAACGGTGGAAAATCTCGTAGCTCGTCTCAGGAACTGGGACGGTGGAGCCATGTGCAGGAGTAAGGCGTCAGGCGATGCACCCCACCAGCGCCCTATACTAACCTAACCTACTGACAAATGGCACAATAAGGGTTAGGGAAAATTCAAGAGTTTAAAGTTTGAATAGCAAGGTTTAAAGGCACAAAGGTATATAGAGTAGAAAAGGAACACGGTTAGCGCGACTCCTTGAAAAACAAGGACGGTTTTTGAAAAACAAGGAAAGATGGAACACTTCAAGGAAGTTCCTTGGAAGTGTGCTCCCATTCCAAGGAGGCTCCCTTGTTTTCCAAGGCCAGTCCCTTGTTTTCTTGGACTCCAGACAAATTCCAAGGGCCCGCCTTGTTTTTGGGGTGCACTTCCAAGGGGACGCCTTGGTTGGTCTCTGCCGATTCAAGGAACCGCCTTGTTTGTCCGCAAAAGCTCGAGTTACGTCGTCGACCACGTCATGAGGTCCCCGATGACGTCCCCCTGGGGTTCACCATGACGACCCCCATGTTTCTCCGTGCCGTTGAGGCTGCCGGGTCTCACAGTGGCCAACGCCGAAAACCGTTTTCTTCTACGTCCAGTACTTTCGGAGATACGAGGACGTACCACGAGGCCGCCGTCCAGGCGGAGGAGGAAGTGGTGATTTTTTCGAGGCCAAAGTAGCTCTGGCCACGAGCCTACTTGGTGTCCGGGACTTTTGACTTCGGAATCGGGTTAGGGGGGTGCCGGCCCACCTCGAAACCAAATTTGGTCAAGTTCCGGCCAGCCGTTTGTCCAGGATGGCGTCAAACAGCTGGATTTTTGGACCTATTTTGCTGATTGGATGATGTTTGTCGCCATCCTGGACAAACGGCTGGCCGGAACTTGACCAAATTTGGTTTCGAGGTGGGCCGGCACCCCCCTAACCCGATTCCGAAGTCAAAAGTCCCGGACACCAAGTAGGCTCGTGGCCAGAGCTACTTTGGCCTCGAAAAAATCACCACTTCCTCCTCCGCGTGGACGGCGGCCTCGTGGTACGTCCTCGTATCTCCGAAAGTACTGGACGTAGAAGAAAACGGTTTTCGGCGTTGGCCACTGTGAGACCCGGCAGACTCAACGGCACGGAGAAACATGGGGGTCGTCATGGTGAACCCCAGGGGGACGTCATCGGGGACCTCATGACGTGGTCGACGACGTAACTCGAGCTTTTGCGGACAAACAAGGCGGTTCCTTGAATCGGCAGAGACCAACCAAGGCGTCCCCTTGGAAGTGCACCCCAAAAACAAGGCGGGCCCTTGGAATTTGTCTGGAGTCCAAGAAAACAAGGGACTGGCCTTGGAAAACAGGGGAGCCTCCTTGGAATGGGAGCACACTTCCAAGGAACTTCCTTGAAGTGTTCCATCTTTCCTTGTTTTTTAAAAACCGTCCTTGTTTTTCAAGGAGTCGCGCTAACCGTGAAGGGATGAGAAGGTATTAGAGAGAGAAAGGGAGGGAGAGAGACTTTGCCCTGCTACTCCCGCCTTCGCCGGTGGTCCGCCGGCAGGGTAGGCAACCCATCGGTCTTGGTAGTGTGGTTGGCACCCCTACCGGCGTCCGATGAAGCGCGACCCCGCGCTCTCACTGGAAGGTGGTATGGACATGTACACCCATGTCCCTGCTGAGCGTGACAGCGAGCGTTGCGTCGCCGCCGTCGTCGTCCTGCTGGCGGGTCTCGGTGTCCCCCTGCTGGTCCGCGTCGTTTGAGGGCTGGGGCGCGGCAGCAGGCTTGGCTAGCCGTCTTGGAGTTGCCGGATTGCGGCAGCACGACGCGAGCAGAGTGGATACGATGCCGAGCCCGGATGTCATGGTGGTTGTAGGGCAGCACGCTGCGACAGCGGCGAAGACGCCGAGGCCGGCGATGATCAGCGAAAGGGCGGACCAGAGCCCGAACTCGGCGTGGGACATGCCTGATAGGGGCAGGTCCGCCCAGAAGTGCCCTGTCACTGGCGGCCGCGGTGTGATAACATGTACGGGTGGGAGGTGCTCCGTCGAGTAGTTGGTGTACGAGATGCCTCCCCCGATTGCCGCCTGGGCAGTGAAGTTCGACTCGGCCCAGATCCTGGACACCCGCACCGCCGCCGTCGAGGTGCAGATGGTGCCCAACTCGATGATAGTCTCCGGCGGTGTCGATGACGTCTGCGCCAAGCAGTTGCACGGCATGTCGACCTGGTGGCGCCCGTCCTGAAGCTGGTGCAGGCGTTGGTGTACTTTGTTGTTGCAAATCAGCTGCACCTCGACCGTGGGGTTCAGGATCGCGTAGGTGTTGCCGCGGATGTGCTGAGTCGTCGTCGTTCGCCTATCCTCGCAGTGAAGCACGCATGCCTCCGTCAGCGCCTCCATGGTGTCGTCCTTGGCAAGGGCGCGCAAGCACGGTGACAGGTGTTCGGGGCTGGCGTGCCGGCGCAGGTAGTAGACCGGCACGGTGCCCTCCGGGTCGTCGTGTAGGGGCAGCGGCGTCCCGTCCGCGCTGATGGCCAGACGCACAGAGTCCTCCAGGACTCGGCACGTGAGTCCTTGGTGCAGGAAGTCAAGCGGCTCGAACTCAACGACACGCCACGAGGAGGCAATGGGAGCAACAGGTAGGAGGACGACAAGAGTCATAGTGGAGAAGTCTTTAGAAACAGAGCAGGAGGTAGAGGGAAAACTATAAATATATTCTATTTCACTAACATCGAAGACAAACCTTGCTCCGCGGCGTGCCAAAGCTTCACTCTCTGTTTTGATGACCTGTCGTAATTGATCGACAGAGATAGCAATATGGGATAATTTCCTGTCATGGCAAGCCGAATGCAGAGAGCGTAGCGTTGCCAGATGAGTGAGTAACAAATTTATTTTAGTGGAGAGCGCGGCTTGCATTACCAACCTATTTGCAACCACCTCGCCCTCATTGATGTGCCCTGCAAGTGCCGCGCCGAATTTGTTCACGTGAGCAGCCAGGTCAACAAGATTTCTGTCAATTTTTCCCGCAAGTGAATGAAGTTGTACGAAATTAGTTGTAGTGATATTTTCAAATTCTGTCTGGCGGCCTGAAATTTCGGTTACTGCATGGCTAATGTTGTTGACCCGGTCAATTACAATGTCAAGATCTGCTTCTGTTGCCGTGCCGGTCAACCTCTTGTTGAATCTACCCCAACTTGGGAACCACGCTTCGCGCTTAGCGCGGATGGGCAACAGGTCGTCTGATTTAAAGAAAACAGATTTTAGCTCAAGTAGTATTTGAAAGCTGCTCACGTCGACCGCGTTCAGCGCCGCGCACATCTGGTTCAGAGCCGGTACCGAAAACGTACAGTTTTTAATTTCAGGTTTGGAGATTTGAAGGTCGAGCTTTGGCAAGTTTGTTTGGATCGATACTTCTAGGGAACCCGTTGCCACTCTGGCTTCAGGGTGTACAAGCAAGTTTAGGCCGCCCGTATTGGCAACAGATTTCCATTGTCCTGTGGGGCCGCCCACTACAAGGGGCAAGAGCATAAGCAAAAACATTGCAGTTACGCTCATACTTAAGACTACATACCAGAAACGCCGTCAGCACCAGCCAGGGGTAAATTAATGAAAAGCGTAAAAAAAAACATAATGTTAGTTCATGACATAAAGTACACAGAAAAGGAAGCCAAGGTACGAGAGCGACCGGGGGGAGAACGAAAATAATCACAAATGGTGCATATAAATGATGATTTTCGTGTCATAAAACACCTCACACAGGGTTCTCAAAACATCATTGTAATTTAGCCGGTCGAGTCCGGAGCCCAGCTCAACCGTGGCGAAGCAATGGATATTGTTACTGATCAAAAAGTGCTTTAGAATTTGAAGAGATATGCCAAAGTCTTCCATGGTAGGAAGGTCGGTGTGGTGAAATTTAGTTATAAGATTGAAAATAAGCCTCTGGCCTCGGCGAAGCACTACGAGGCCAGGGCACGTGCTGCGGGTAGCCTGCAGCTCCCGCCGGATGCCATACCGCCGCTCCACCTGCAGCGCGAAGCCTGCGGATACCGCGCCATTGCGGCTTACGCAGTGAACGATCGGCATGTCCTCCGGCGAGGCCAAGGCGTCCCCTTTTAAGTGGATCAGTTGCATTTCAGCTGCGTTGATTTAAGAGCCTGTCAAACAAACAGTGCAAAAGGTTGTTTTAATAGACGACGGTGTACGTTGGTTGCGCTGGTTGGTCTGTTGGTTGTGCAGAAAATAGGGGAAAACTTAGAGAGAGAGAGACAGACAGACAGAGAGAGAGAGAGAGAGAGAGAGAGAGAGAGAGAGAGAGAGAGAGAGAGAGAGAGCCTTCGGCGGTACACGCCCAACGAAAATCAAAGAAAATCCTACCTACGAATCACAACAAGTGAGCCGCATTTGTTGCGGCGCAATCAACTTGCAAAAACGTCATTTCTAAGTGACAGCCGTGTCGGCCGCGCGTGACTGGGCTTCAGGTGCGTAACGTGAGTAAGGCGCTTCCAAACACGGCCTGTTTTGGTGCGCAACTTAATGATATAGAGAAGGCTTGAGACTTTCCTAGAAACCGTGCCAATGCGGTAAAGTTTTTGAAGCTTTTTAGGGTTAGTGAGCGATGCTTTGCGCTCGAACCACACGAAAACAGGAGAACCAACTTTATAAGAAATGTTCTTACGATTGGAGTCGTACTTAGACTTGTAGATGGCTTGCGCCTTTTGCCTTGCTGAGATAACAGACTGCCTAATTTCTTCGAGTAGTTTCAGTCGCTTATTTATACACACTGTGCCAGGCAGCACAGTTTTGAGGGAGAAAGGAGTCAGAGGTTGTTTGCCATAAACTATTTCATACGCCGAAAGTCCAGAGGAGACTTGCGGCTGGGCGTTCATATGGAACTGTATAAACGGTAATAGAGTGTGCCATTGCTTTTTCCTATTCCTACGATTATTAATTAAAAATCTAATCCCAGAGACTACTCTTTTAACTGAAGCTTCTACACGACCCGAGCTAAAGTGCGCATGCGAAGCACTGACTACTAGTTTAATTCCTAACTTACTTACGAAATTAATAATTTCTTCACTGCGGGCAAAGCCGGCTGCATCCATGTGCAGCGTGCGGCATATCCCGTGCAGTTTGAAGAAGTTTTCTAGACCCCTAATTACCTCAGCTGCAGTTGTGGCTTTTGCTGGCGACAAGTGGCAATAGTTGCTGAACATGTCGCAGACAACGAGGCAGTGAGTAAACCCAGACTTAACGGTAAGAATATGAGTAAAATCTACAGCAATACTCTCGAAGAGGTCCGGCAGTGGAGGCGTTCCGAGTTTGCCGTACTTAACTGTGCAGGGCTTGAATTCCCCGCACTGTGTGCACGAACGGACGTAGTCCTTTACGTCACGCCCCATTGACGGCCAGAAATAATATTTACAGAGGGCCAAAAGCATGACCCGTTCCCCTGCGTGCAAGCACAGGTCGTGGTACAAGTTAAGGACCTGAGGGACAAGGGCAGCTGGAATGACCGTCGCGGCGGGGGCTGTGTTGGTAACCAGTAACCCGTCGCGCAGCGTGTAAGCCCGTTTGCCCCGCACGTACAACGCAGGGTGCTGCTTTGCAGGCTGGCTTCCAGCTAAGGCCTCAAAAATTGGGGCGAGCTGGGGGTCCAGTCTCTGCAAGCGCTTGATAGCGGCTAAAGGCGGCGGCGCCGCCGGGCCGTGACAGCCGGCCTTGACGTCACTGTCGGGTGGCATTCCTTCCTTCGGCGCGGCTGGGCCCGCGGCGTGAGGCAGCGCTGCAGATGCGCGCGCTACGTCATCGTCCCGCGGGGCGCCCCGGGAGGTGTCGCCGTCCGCGGCCGCCTGCCGCACTAATTGCTCGGGTCCAGCGGCGGGGAGGGGGGCGCCGCCCGCTCCTTCCCCCGCTGTCCCCTCGCCCTCCTCGGCGGCCCTGCGCCGCGCGGCCCGCGTGATGACCTGGAGCACGGCGCCGTGGCCTTCTTGCGGGGCCTCGGCGTTGAACTCCGTGTCCAGGCACGCGGGGAGGGGAATGTCGCCGTCCACGGTGTGGAGGCGGGAAAGACTATCGGGGATTTTGTTATCACGCGTACCGACCACTTCGAAGTCAAAAGTAAACGTAGAGAGGTACGCGATGAATCGGTCAAGAGGCGCTTTCGGTGCTTGCATTGAGAGCAGGTAGCGCAGCGAGGAGCAGTCGGTAACGACTGTGAACTTCTCTACCGAGAGCAGCTCGCTCTCGAAGCAGCGGACTGCAGAGAAAAGCGCAAGGCACTCGAGGTGAAAGGAGGACCACGCTTTTTGGGTCTTGTTGAGGTTCGCCGAGAAGTACCCCACCGGAAGGTAGTAGTTGCCTTCCTTTTGAGCAAGGAAAGCCCCGACACCGATAAGCTGGGACGCGTCGACGTGCAGCTTGGTCGGGCGTTTCTCATCGAAAAGGGACAAAGTGGCATTATTTAACAGGTGGGTGTACATCGATTCGATGTCCGCCGCGTTCTCCTCCGTCCACACGAAAGGGCACTTTTCATTGGCCATTTCGTTGTAGTGGGAGGTTCTGATAGCGAATTTTGGAATGTACCGGCGATAATACGAAAGAAAACAGATGCAGGACTTGAGCGCCCTCGCGTTCTTGGGATATTTTAGAGCCAAAAGGGGTCGGAAACGACTCTTGTCCGGCCTGACTTTGCGCCCCGCCTCGACAATGACGCCGAGCATTGGGACAGTTTTGCGGAAAAGAATCGTTTTGTCGGGGCGGAGGCAGAGATTGTTAGCGGAGAGGCGGTGGAGCGTTTGCTCGAAAACGCTAAACAGGGAATCGAAGTCGGTGCCCCCGACGATTAAATCGTCGAGGTAGCTACACACTGGCAGGCCGGCTAGGACGTAGCCCATCATGGACTGCGCAATCTGGGGGGCCGTTTTCAGGCCCTGAGCGAGTCGGGTAAAGCGGTAGCGCTTTTCCCCCACTTGAAATCCAAGGTACTCCTTAGATTCGTCAGTTACGCGTATAGTGAAAAAGTAGGACACAATGTCACCTACACAGAGAAGGTTTTTATCAGAGCAATAGCGAAGCGCGTCGCTGATCGTGGTGGCCTTGTACTTGTACTCGGCCAGCGTGTTATTGAGAGCACGCGCGTCCAGCAAGACGCGGCCCACGGGGGCCTCTAGAGTGGAACCGCGCTTCGCGATGACAAACACAGGGAGGGTGCAGAACTTAGCGAAGCCTTCCTCGATGACTCCCGCCTTAAGGAGTTTAGCAACTTCCTGCTCGGCGAGGCGGCGTTGCATTTCGGACCAAGGCCAATTCTTTTTAAAGATGGTGGAATTGACCTTGCGCTCGAGATGCGCCCACGCATTGGGAATGAATGCTCCTGGCTTTAGTTCATAAGCAAAGACATGTCGGTAATTGTGAAGCAAGTGGCGCACTTTGTCGCGCTGCGCGGGCGAGATGTCCGCTTCTTCGAGGGAGGGGAGCGGCGGCCGGTCGGCGACCCCAGCGCCCTCGGCCACGCTGCACAGTGTGCCGCTCAGCTGATCGTCACACGACTCCAGCTCGAGCCTGCCGCCGGCTACGGCGCAGCAGACTTCGCCCAGACTGCCTGGCACCACCGTGGCGGGGTCCAAACCCCGGTCCTCGAAGTCGATGGTCGCGACGCGCGTACCCGCGGGTAATGTGACTTGCTCGTCAGAGTCGTTGAGAATGTAGACTTCCATTGCGGAAGTGACAACGGATTCAAGGGAAAAGATACTGTCCGAGCCCAGCAAGCGCTTGGGCGTGCAGACAGCCGGCAGCTCTGGCACCACGTGCCCGGCGTGCACCTGCACCGCCGTGAGCTGTCGTGGCTCCAGGAGCATTTCGTTGCACGTGAGCAGTGAAATTGGAGAATCGTGAGCCGCGGAAACGTCGATGTCGCCCAGTCTGCGGCTTTCCGCGACCAGGATATTTGAAGCCGTTGTTGCCCGCGGCTCGGCGGATGCGCCGCCGCCGTCTGCCCAACGCGGAAGGAGATATTCGACCCCAGCCCATTCGAGACGCGCCGTCTCCGTCTTCCAGTCGACCGCGCCTTTGAGGCGTCGCAAGAGGTCATTACCCAGCAAAATGTCGACTGGAAGCATGTCGGCGACAATTGTAGGATGCTCGAGGGCCGGTCCACCGTCAAACTCAAACAGGGGCGAGTACTGCCCGTGCACTTTAAGCCTAGCGCTGTTGGCGATGCGCAGTGACACGTTGGCCGCCTTGAGGGCCTTGCTGTCTGTGAGGAAGCGAGAGTGGAGTACTGTCCGTGTCGCTCCGGTGTCGATGGCGGCTCGTAATTGCAGCCCGTCGACGCGCAGACGCACCGTGAACAGTTCCTCGGTGTTCGCCCCGATTTCACACACAGCCACCGGCTCGAGACGGCCGTCCTCTGTGCACCGCCAAGTGTCGTTCACTCGAGACAAGAAATCACTACCTAGCACTAAGTCTACTGGTATTTCACTCACTCTAAACCTTAAACCCAATTTTACACCGTCTTCGAGCTGAAGAAGCCCGAAGGAAAAACCCAGGACGGGACTCGCGTACGAGTCCCCGAAAACCACGTGTTTAACCCTATCTGCACTAACCAAAGCACTATTTACAAGGCGGGGGTGCAAGAGGGAGCAGCGCGCGCTTGGCTCTAGGGCCGCGAGTGCTTCCACTCCGTTGACAAGTACACGCACTCGCTGGTTGTACCACTCCGGGTCGGCAAGCTGCACGACCTCTTCTGGTGGCAGGCGCGCTACCCGTTTAAGCACCTCCGGGTCAACATTACAGGAGCACAGTGCGTCCCCTGAGTTCTCAGGCGGCACGGGGCTTGGCGCGGGGCTCGGCACGCGCCTCGCCGCCGCGTTGCCCCTGTGACTGTACCGCACTTGGGTCCACTCGGGTTTCGCCGCCGCGCCGGCCGGGCTCGCCGCCGCCACCGGGGGCCTGGCCGCGCCGCGCGACTTGACACCCCGGCCGGCGGCCGGGCTGCCCGTGTGCCCTACACTCTTAAAATCTAAGTGCCACCGGGGCTTTTGCCAGCCCGGCGGTAACAAGCAATCAAAGTGGCCGCAATGGTATGGCGGACGGAAGAGCAGGTACACTTTGAGGGGTGTCTCACCCTTGCACGCTCCGTGAAAAGTCAGCTTCCTGTCCGGCAGGCGGACCTCCAAGTGAAGATGGAGAGCCTCCGCGGCTGCCTTGAGCTGCACTTCCGTTGCCAATACGCCATTGCCAGCGTGCCGACGAAAATATTCTAGCCTAGATTCCCCTACAACAAAGTCACTAAAATTACCCCAATTATTGAAAATGAACTTAGAAATTAGTGCACGTAGCGCGTGCGTCGCGTTGAGCGACCGAAAGAGCGCAAAGCTAAGCGACCCGTACAGGCAATTTCCGTCCTCCGGAATCTGGATTTTAATCCAGCCTGTCGTGTCGTCAGGTGCGCTCACAGCGCCCTGCGGTGCGCCCTTCGGCCCTCCTCCTGCCAACGAATTTACATACCCGCGTTCGGGCCCGGCCCCTGCTGCTGCTCTGGACCAAGGCCCTGCCCGGCTAAAAAAGCCGCCTTTTTGCGGCAGTCCCGGGCTATGTGCCCTGGGTAGTGGCAAAAATAGCAGCGCTGTTGCGGCATGCCCTGCATGCCGGCAGGCTGCTGGTTGAATACCGCGTGCCCCTGGGGCGGTGCGTACTGCACCGGGGACGCGTACGGCTGGGCGTACTGCGGCGGTACGAGCGGGGCGAACTGTGGCATTGGCACTGCCACGCCGTAGCTCTGCGGCATGTTTGAGAGCCTGTCAGCATAGCCATTGAAGCCGCCAAAGCCGCCGTAGCTCTGCAGCTGCTGCTGTGCCCAGCCGCCCCGCTGCCCGCGCCCCGCAGAGCCACCCCCGCGGCCACTGCCACCCCCGCGGCCTCCGCGGCCACCGCGGCCCACGAACATGGCCCAAATTTGGTCCACCTTCTCGGCCTGCGATGGCTCGGATGCTGCCCCGGCCGCGGCAGCCGCCTTTCCGACGCCAAGCTGCTCCAGCTTCCCAAGGAGCAAGTCCTCGACAGAGGACGGCGGGTCCGGCGCTGTTTCCAGCAATGCTAGGATTTTGCTCTCGGCTCTGGAGTCCAGCTTCTGCTGAATCAGCTTTTCCAGCCGGGCCATCCTTTCCTCCCCGTCGTCCTTCTGTACGATTTTGCTCTCAACAAGGGCATTTTCTAGCCGCGTTAGAAAATCGCTGACGGTGGTGCAGCCTGCACCCACCATCAGCCGGCTTTGGTCCGCCGGAAGCAGTTGCAGGAGCGTCCTGCACACCTCTATCTCTGCCAGCGGCGGGTCCGCCTTCCTAGCCGCCCCGGCAACCCTTTGAACGAATGCCCGGATTGTCTCGTTGCTGCCCTGCTTCATTTGGAGCAGGCGCTGCCTCACTGCAGACGGGGTCCTATCGCCCTGCAAGGCGGTGACCATTTCTCGCACGTACTCATCCCAGTTCTTATTTTGGTGTACCTCGTGCGCTGCTTCGGCCCACGCTGGCAGGTGCGGGGCCACGTACATCTGGATGTGAGCCTCGTCAATTTCAAACCGGCTATAGACGGTTCGGGCTTGATCGAACCACCCTTGAACGTCCGCTTCATCGAATTTACGCAGCACGGGCTGCAACGAAGCCGGCAGTGCTGGCTTGGGCGGCATGTTGTTACGGTCTCTGTTTTCCCTGTGCCTACGTTCTTCCTCTATCCTTCTTTGCCGAGCCGCCTCTTTCTCCGCGATATCGATGCCAGCAATCAAAATTAGAATTTCCGCGAGGAGAGCTTGGATTTGAGAGAGGGTCCAGAGGCCCAAGTGACCTTTGAGCGCTTGTATTAATTTTGGAACTGCAAGTTTTACGCTCGGTGTTCGCAGGTTGTCGAAGTCGGTCTCGCGCGCGACGATTCTAAGCCCAGGCGAAACGTTGCTGATACCGTTGTCCCCGGTGAAGAACTCGCAAAACGCCGCGACGCGCACTTGTCCTGGAGTAACTGGCGGAATTAGTGCTAGTGGTAAATTCTCAATTTCCCCGAAAAATTTTGCTGCGATTTCTTTAGCCGCGCGCGCGTCTAACACTTCTGGGTTCGCGATATACGCAACCGGTTGGCGGCATCCGTCTTCGATTTGACAAGTGCTGACTATATTTTGGGCTACAGTTGGTCTTTCACCCATTGCCAAACTTTACGCGACATGTGATTCATTCTACGCACTCCTCGAAACGTTCCCCGAGCTGTCGCTCCGCGCGCCGTGGTACCCTCGCCCCGCGCGCGCCGCGTTTCCCCACACAGACACAGAACACAGACCGCATCACTGTACTCACTTTCCGGCGTGGCCCGTCACAGCGTCGCACAACACGTAAAGGAAGATAGCACAGACACAGGCACAGTAGAGGAAACAGTTGCACAGCAGAGCACAAACACAGCAATCAACACAAACACCACCTTAACACTTTTGCACTAAATCTACACTGAATTTACTCGGAAAGAAAAAGGTTGAATTTTAAAGAAAGGGAGAAGATCTCCCTTTTATGGAAAGGTTAAAAACGAGGAATGCCTTCCATCGCGCCACGTGGTGGGCTAGGGCAAGCCCGGCCGATGCGCCAGATGTTTTGTTAGTGAACTCACGGATCTTCAGATAATGAGACTGATCACCATGACCATGGTTTATTGACGCACTATTACAATGGCCTAACTTGCGCTCGAGCCCCGGTCACTCCCCACTAGAGCTTGGCTCACCTTGTCCGTGTCCCTGCTGGGCTGCGACTCCCCGTCCGCGGCCGCGTCGCTCCGGGCCTCGGCCCTTCGCGACGCGCCCGGCGGCGATTTTTGCTGACACAAGGGGTATGGGCCGCGGCGGTGGCGGATGCAGCGGCCGCGGCCCGTTAAGTGTTTGAACCTGCGTGGAGTGGCGCAACAGTCCAATAGTGAAAAATGGCACTTTCGGCCCTACAGGGATGAAACCATGGATCGCCCAGGATGCGGCTATCTCGCGATGGGTGCGGAATATGTTCCTTTATATCCCTGCAAAGTCTGGGCGATGTGGCTCGACATCTTAGTTAAGCCCGGGCACTTGTTTTAACGCTAAAACAAAGTTTCAAAACACTAAAAATTGGATTTAAGGGTCTGTTGTTTGCTCAAAGGTCCCAAATTTCTATAGGAATGGAAAGAGCTCAAAAAATGCAAATTTTTGGTATATAAAACTTTGTGATCGGACGAAAATTGTTGCCAGGGCGAAACTTTACCCATCTCAGCGAAAGCTCAAAAACACTAAAAAGTGATCTTTACGGGAATATGTATTGCCTGTGGATCCAATATGATCATACTGTTCGAAAGATCTAAAAAAATGCAAAATTTTGGTATATAAAGTTTTGTGATTGGACAAAAACTCGATTTGTTGTTAATTATAGAAGAAAGTGTAAGCGTTCGTCGAGCCATCTCCTGCCGAACAAGGGCTTTGCTTTACTTTGCTGGTAACTTATTTTGCAACAATTCAAGTTTTTGTCCAATCACTAAACTTTATATACCAAAATTTTGCATTTTTTTTAGATCTTTCAAACAGTATGATCATATTGGATCCACAGGCAATACATATTCTCGTAAAGATAACTTTTTAGTGTTTTTGAGCTTTTGCTGAAATGTGTAAAGTTTCGCCCTGGCAACAATTTTCGTCCGATCACAAAGTTATATATACCAAAAATTTGCATTTTTTGAGCTCTTTCCATTCATATACGTATATGGGACCTTTGAGCAAACAATAGACCCTTAAATCCAAATTTAAGTGTTTTGCAACTTTGTTTTAGCGTTAAAACAAGTGCCCGGGCTTAACCGAGATGTCGAGCCACATCACCCAGACTTTGCAGGGATATAAAGGAACATATTCCGCACCCATCGCGAGAGCCGCATCCTGGGTGATCCATGGTTTCGTCCCTGTAGGGCCAAAAGTGCCATTTTTCACTATTAGACCTAAGTTTGGAGCCTCCAAAGAGATGGAAGGTGACGTCACCAGACCCCAGCATTGTGGGATCTCTTTTCTAATATGGTCAATTGCAAAGAAAACCATACGCCGTTTAATTCTGGGATTTTCGACCCACCCTACTAATCGTGCTATTTTAGGTCAATCACAGACTCGAAAACTTGTCTTAATTAGTGACAATCTATTTCAGAAGCTAATGGATTAGGCGATTTGAAATATAAAAGCTCTCTTAAAGAAATAAGAAAGTTTAAATCACAATAAAAAATCATGTTTTGAATATTCATTAAAAAAATACCCATAAAATCAAAAAATTTAACCCTGAGATACCATAGAGGAAACACTTCCAACCAATTCAATTGACTAAACTGGTTTGTGAGTGAATAAACATCAAACACGAACCAGGCAAAGAAAATACACAAACATGAACTGTAAATGGAAATTTTTGCTAAGCAACTGTTGGATTGGATTTGGGAGCAACAAAACTTTCTATAAGTGAATTCAGGTCGCTTTCTAATTTCTTTTTAGGCTTATTGCAAAGGAACTAACCCAAGTGCACTGTAAAAAATATGTTGTGAATTTACAACGGAATATTTTACGAAGGTTTTTGGGAATGTCCAAAAGTGCACTGTGAATGTTTCTTTCCTATAGGAACTTTTGTATATCAACGGAAGTTCGTCGTTAATTTACGAAGGTTCTCAGTAAATTTACGAACAAAATCCTAAATGTACAGAATCTGTTGAAAATTTAGGAAGGGCTTCGTAAATTTACGACGGGCTTTGTTAATCTACGACGGGTCTTCATAAATCTACGGCAAACCTTCGTAAATAAACGAAGGAACTGTTGGCAATTTTTTGCCGAAGGATCCGTCGGAAATTCCAGACGTATAATTACAAAGGTTCTCTGTATGTTAACGAAGGTTCTTTGTTTACTACCGAAGGTTCCGTGTAAATTTACGAAGGATCTTTGTATATATACGAAGGTGCTTCGTAAATTTCCATTGTGATTGTAAAATCAACACAGATCGTTCAAAAAATTAACAAAGATTTTTGAAAATATACAAAGAGATTCGTAAATTAACGAAGGAACCGTTGGCAATTTTCTTGCCGAAGGTTTGGTACTTCGCGTTTGATTTAAACTACAACTTGGTAACCTAGCCCAAACCGCGACCTTGAAATTGAAAAACAAAATCACCGTAGACGTTAAAGTTGTGCATCTTAGCGCAAAGCTTATCAAACCTTATCGTTCACAGCCTTAATGTAAGATTTGGTACTTCGCGTTTGATTAAAAATACAAGTTAGTAACCTGGCCCCACCCACGACCTTGAGCTTGAAAAAAAAATCACCGTAGACGTAAAAGTTGTGCATCTTAGGGCAAAACTTATCGAAACTTATCGTTCTTAGCCTTCATGTAAGTTTGGTACTTCGCCTTTGATTAAAACTACAAGTTAGTAATCTGGCCCAACCCACGACTTTAACATTACAAGGTAGGTTTACGCCAGACCGCGTCTTGTCGTAACAGGCTTCGCGATGTCTCGCTGCCTGCTCCTCCAATCCACGCCTGGCGTACCTACCTTGGCCTGCGGCGCTAGCCTGCCTTCGGCAGGCAATGGCCTACGGCAAACCTTCGTAAATAAACGAAGGAACTGTTGGCAATTTTTTGCCGAAGGATCCGTCGGAAATTCCAGACGTATAATTACAAAGGTCCATCGTCGGTTACTTCTTACTTGATGCATGCTGGGGGGCTCCGCCCCCAGACCCCTCTTCATTCAAGATCCCTTGTAACTTTTTAACTTGTCGGAGCTGGGGGGCTCCGCCCCCTAGACCCCCCTTCTTCAAGATAGAAGTGATCTGCCTGCAAAAAACTCGATTTTTCGCCGATTTTTAGGTGTTTTTCGGCTATAAAAACTGAACCAGTTGAGCTAGGATGGTGAAATTTCGCGTGTGCCGAGCCAAGGACATACCCAAGAAGTGTGCAAAATCTCACCGAGATCGGCCGAGCCGTTCAGGAGGAGTAGTGCGGACACACACACAGACAGACGGACAGACAGACAGACAGACGGACAGAGAGACAGACAGACAGGAAAAACTTTTCAACCCCAATGGAGTAACAGGCTTCGCTATCGCTCAGCCAAAAAAAAAAATAACCGTAGACATAAAAGTTGTGCATCTTAGGGCAAAACTTATCGAAACTCATCGTTCTTAACCTAAATTAAAGTTTTGGTACTTCGCGTTTGATTGAAACTACAAGTTAGTAACCTAGCTCAACCCACGACCTTGAAATTGAACAAAAAATCACCGTAGACGTAAAAGTTGTGCATCTTAGGGCAAAACTTATCGAAACTTATCGTTCTTAGCCTCAATGTAAGGTTTGGTACTTCGCGTTTGATTAAAACTACAAGTTAGTAACCTGGCCCATCCCACGATTTTAAAAGGGAAAAAGAAATCACTGTGCACGTAAAAGTTGATCATTTTAGGGCAAAACTTAGGGAAACTCATCGTTCTAACCCTGAATTAAAGTTTTGGTACTTCGCGTTTGATTGGAACTACAAGTTGGTAACCTGGCCCAACTCACGACCTTGAAATTGAAAAAATATCACCGTAGACGTAAAAGTTTTGCATCTTAGGGCAAAACTTATCGAAACTTATCGTTCTTAGCCCTAATGTAAGGTTTCGTACTTCGCATTTGATTAAAACAACAAGTTGGTAACCTGGCCCAACCCACGACCTTGAAATTGAAAAAATATCACCGTAGACGTAGAATTTTTGCATCTTAGGGCAAAACTTATCGAAACTTATCGTTCTTAGCCTTAATGTAAGGTTTGGTACTTCGCGTTTGAACAATATTAGAAGTTGGTAACCTGGCCTAACGCACGATTTTGAAATAGGAAAAGAAATCTTTGTGGACCTAAAAGTTGTTCATTTTAGGGCAAAACTTAGCAAAACTCATCGTTCTTAACCTGAATTAAAATTTTGGTACTTCGCGTTTGTTTAAAACAACAAATTGGTAACCTGGCCAAACCTACGATTTTGAAAAAGAAAAAAAAATCACTGTGGACGTAAAAAATGTTCATTTTAGGGCAAAACTTATCGAAACTCATCGTTCTTAACCTAAATTAATGTTTTGGTACTTCGCGTTTGATTAAAACTACAAGTCGGTAACCTGGCCCAACCCACGATTTTAAAAGTGAAAAAGAAATCATTGTGGACGTAAAAGTTGATCATTTTAGGGCAAAACTTAGCGAAACTCATCGTTCCAAACCTGAATTAAAGTTTTGGTACTTCGCGTTTGATTGGAACTACAAGTTGGTAACCTGGCCCAACCCACGACCTTGAAATTGAAAAAAATATCACCGTAGACGTAAAAGTTTTGCATCTTAGGGCAAAACTTATCGAAACTTATCGTTCTTAGCCTTAATGTAAGGTTTCGTACTTCGCGTTTGATTGGAACTTCAAGTTGGTAACCTGGCCCAACCCACGACCTTGAAATTGAAAAAAAAATCACCGTAGACGTAAAAGTTTTGCATCTTAGGGCAAAACTTATCAAAACTTTCGTTCTTAGCCTTAATGTAAGGTTTGGTACTTCGCGTTTGAACATATAAAGTTGGTAACCTGGCCTAACGCACGATTTTGAAATAGGAAAAGAAATCACTGTGGACCTAAAAGTTGTTCATTTTAGGGCAAAACTTAGCAAAACTCATCGTTCTTAACCTGAATTAAAATTTTGGTACTTCGCGTTTGTTTAAAACAACAAATTGGTAACCTGGCCAA